AAAACAATAAGAAATAAAGAAATATTAAACAGCATTCAATTCGTTTACATGCAAATCCGTTTGATAATTTATTATTTACAGATAAATCGTGAAACCAAAGCGACGTCAAAATTAACTGTCAGATGTTTGCGCTCTGCGTACACGACTCGACTGCTTCGAAATCCCCGCGGAGACGTCAACTTTGTCATAAGGATGAATTTGTCTTCTTTTTTATGCACCGCTCTCTTTCTTCTTCGTTGCATAATCCACGTTTTGAATTTTAATATATATTTATATATATATATGTATACACACGCGTCCTTCGAAAAGTTAACCAATTCCGACGCCGGATATTGCTCGGATGGATGTAGTTAATATATACATATATTCGCCTAAGTAATGCAAAAGTAATTTTGTACTTGGAGTAGTTTATAAAATGTATGAAATTGAGAGAAAATGCGTTTGTTAACTTAAATTAAAAACCAAACGGTGTATAAAAATTCTGTTTGCCAACGAATAAATTGTAAACAAAGTTTTTTTTTTTACTAAGTTCATACAATTAATTATTAATGCAAACTTGAATTTAATTTAATAAATTACCTTGAAATTGGCGTGAAATGAATTAGCTATGCCATAAGCATTCGTTATTGTCATGGTTACTGCGTTTCTCCTGATATTGTTTTAATTTACCGTGTGTCAATTATACGTAGAACAATGGCGATTGGGATTATAATTTTGAGAATGACATCTGTCATCCTCATTGTCATTGGTATAGTTTATGAATAATAGTTGTATAATTCAAATCGCAATTGAAATAATTAATTGTATAAAGTATTATGAAATTATATTAATACAATAAAGCCTATTATTGTATACATTTTATTATAAAAGTTATATTGCATAATATTAATTATATAAATTTAAATTAGTTTGAACGTGTTTGTGAATGTGCGACAGAGATTAATATAATTATACAAAATTTGAAGGTGTTCAAAGCTGGTAGTTTCGTTGAAATTAATATGATCGGATTATGTTGATTTAGTGATGTAATCCGTACGAGTTGATGTAATTTAATCGCATTTGTATTGCATTTGCGAGAGGGGTTGAGACGGAGAGGAGACATGCGTCGCGCTACATCGAATGCCACTTAAATTCGCCTGTACTTACAATCCATGTATGAATGAAACTTGAACCGAGCATTGTGTAAACCACTATCAGAAATTAATTTGCATACCGTACCAGTTCCGATTCTTGCTCAGACTTTTCTCATTAAATCGCACTCGGATTTCTTTGTTCCCAAGACTTAATAATAGCGGTCGTAGATGGGAAAGCGATCGTGCCCAGAAAACACGATGCTTGCGTCGCAATTGGTACCAACATCCATAAAGACGAAGAGTAAATAAGTGAAACGCATTTTCCATGACGACCCGCTGCAATAACGAACGTGACCAAACCGACGTACTTATTTTATAGGTTGTCATGGAGAATTCGGTTATTAAATCTCGCACTGCGTGTATGCTTGTGCGATATTCCAATCAAAGTTTGTAATATTCATGAGAAAAGTAAAACTGCTACTGAGAACAGAAAAAAAAAATGAAACGACTCTCGTATGTGGACGGAATGTTGGGAGCCGGTCATCTCCTCCATTACGTAAGGACTGGCCGTCCTTTAGCATCGCCGCCAGAGACAATAACTTCTGTCTCTGAATTACTGTTACCATAGTAACTTCCTAGAAACAGCCGACTTCAGTGTAAAAGCCTCTAGAAGCAACAATGCGAAAATGAGATGAAACTTCCCGTCTCGTGGCCACCCACGATACGCGTCGTCAAATCCCTGACGTAATATCAATTACCGTAGTGATATAGTGAAAAGATCGACGTTGCGAAATTTTCCACTCTCATTAGGAAATTTAAATTTTCAGCAAGAACCCGACGTCGTTATGCGCCGATTTAATCTGATATCATTGCATATCAGCCGAGGACGACCCCTATTAAACCCTCCCTCGGTGCGGAACAAACTTACCGTTTATGGAGACGTAATTTCAAGAATTTTACGCTTCCCATATTGGGACATTTTTCAATTTGCTCGAGATTGCTCCCAGAAATTTACAAATAATGTAAATGCATGCAGTAGCATCCACTTACGAAACTTATTTATATGTGTGGCACGATGTCTTCTTCTTTTTTTTTGTTCTTTGTAGGGCGCATTTCTTTTATTGGGGTCGCTTGAATAAAATCACAATAGGCCTTGTGGGTCGCAGAGCTTTGTTGTACTTCGAAGGACATCATTCCTCCCTAAAAGAAGGTCGAACTCGTTCAATATTTATATACGTTCTTCTTCGCTGAATCATGTTTTTTGTTTACTACTTCGTAGACAAGATTTCAAAATCTCCAAACACTGCGTGATCCAAATAAAAAATTCTTTGTTTAATCTTCAAAGTTTTTACAAAATTGTGAAAAATATGAATATTTTAGTTCAAAATTTTTATAAATATAGTGTGTATAAACTAAATTTAGAAATAGCAAGTCCAGCTCAGATTGGATCCAGTGCGACAGTAGAAAATCCAGGTTCAGGGACTTCCACGTCGATGCCGACCCGATCAATTCGCTGCATGTAACATAGTTTCACATTTAGTTCCCATCGCGCTCAATAACTTCAAATCTGAATAAACGTCGACTCCGAATAGGGGAAACTCCATAACTTCAAGTTTATATCCAGGAGAGTCCAACAGCCTCTTCCTCCTCTGATTCATTTATCCCAAAGGATACATCACATTCTCCACCCAAACTCACTCGGATTGTATTCGGTTTTAAATTGATTTCATTTTCATCCTCATCGTTATTAGCAAATAATTGAAACCCGTTCGATTGTCAAAGACGTGCGCTTCGGCATGCATGAAAAACATAACAATGCATAAATTATTCATGTGCCCCGGGAGAATTTGCATGAGAAAACGACTGCGAGGATATCAATCGGAAATCGGCCGACTTGGAAGAGATGACGCGGAGAAGAAGAAACAGAGAAATACGGCTGGGTTTGGAAAATATTTAATCTTGCATCTGTAATTCCCATCGTGGCCAAAGGTCGAGGATAACAGAAAACACATAAAAAATTGGATAATGGGAAACTTTTGAAAACGAAGGAATAACTCGAACGTATAATTGAAAAGTAGTAATCGGTAATTTTTAAAAGATTACACATTAACTTTTCGTCGCATAATCTTTACTTATTCTTGACATTTTATTTTACAGATTGTCGAAATAAGATCTGAAAAATTGAAGAAATGTTCTATTACACAATATATGACTATGTTTTGGTAGTCAATATAAAAATGTTTCATATTTGAATAGGTTAAATTGATAAATGCAAATTTTAAGATTATTATTTAGAAAAAGTTCGGGATAGTGTTAAATAGAGTATGTAGTTTGGTTGGTGGTCTGGTGTCACGTGGAGGCATGTAAAAATAGCACACGTATTAATAGAAGGCTCGATGATTGAATTGGGTCTATATTTCAACATACGGATATCAAAATTCATTGTTTGGAATTGGCAAAAAAAAAGTCGCTGTGCTTCATTTATAGTTTGCTTGCCAATAGGGAGTACGCCAGACCAAGGTGATGCTAGAGAGAGAAGAACTGCTGCACGAGCAAATTGAGAGTGAGTATGTGTCAGAATTCCTGGGTGACGCATATTACATTAAATATGTTATGACTGGAAGTGTGGAACAGTACGTGGAAACTGTAACATGAGTGGCGCAACAGAGAGTATGTTACAATATGCCCAGTTACGATTTATTCTCAATCAGTTCTCACTAACAAAAAAAAATGAGAGAAGATAATTTGTGTATATTCATATAAGTGGCTTGCAGTTTGGAGCAGCGATGATTGCGATGATGATGATGGTAAAGATGAGTGGGAGGAGGAAAACGATGGTTGCGTGTATATACAGTTATTTGGAAGAAATAAAGAATGGGTGGACTGAAGTATAAAAAATGAGGGCCCCCTAAGAGGAAGAGGAGAGAAGTTGTAGGAAGAGAATGAAAGGGGGACCGAGGAGGAGATGTGTAATGAGAAGGTACGAGTGAGGACGTTGAGGTTGCCGCTGCTGTTGCAGTGGGTGGAGGGCAGCAGAACACACGCGAGAAGCCAAAGTTAATGTTCCATGTAAGGGACAAAGATGGGCAACGTCTAACGTGCCGTGAAACTGGCGCGCGGCTTTCGAAAGGTTAACGCTTTACTTTGAACTTCAACTTTGGAACAAAGAGAACTCGCGCGCGCGATTCTCTGACCTACTGACTGCTCCAGCGGCTCCATGCAAGAGCCTCGGCCCGACGAGGACCCGATAGATGTATGCATTAGATTATACCATCATCACGCGCATTACTTCTTCCATTTCGACGTCGTCGTCTTCCCTGCTCCTCCTCCTCCTCCTCCGACCTCCAGTTATTGTTGCCGATGTCCATAACCAGATTGCCGGAGAGCTTTCTTCCGTTCCACAATTTTGCGTTTCTTTCCATGCCCATTCTCTCAAGACAAACGCAAACACAATAAAGAAACGACTCGGTTTTCTTTCCACTCTTTATTTTTTGTTGTTGTTGTTGCGTTACTGTTGGTTTGTTTACTTTGCTTTGTTTTGGTTTCCTGCGACTCCTCCGCTCCGTGTTCATTCCACTTCTTTATTTTTAAATGTAACGTTAGGATGTCGCCGGGGTCAAATTGCTTCTTCCAATGGCGCGTCGGTCACGAAGCTCTGCTCCGCACCGAAATAATACACGAAAACCAATTAATTTTTGTAGCAATATGAATGAGTCTGTAGTCCGTGTGCGCAAAATTTCAGGCGACGTCGGGGATGGCCGGAGGAGTCTGCTTACATAAATGTGAGGTCAGCTTTGCGAATTTTACATAATGCAGCGCGCAGAAACCCGTTTGAACTTACATATTTATCGCTTCAAATCGCTAGCCTTAAAAAGCAACCGGCTCTCTCAAATCACGTTCTATTTCGCTATGTTTCGTCTGTTGCAGGATTCACCGTCGCCACGCCAGTCTTCGACCTTCCGTGTATATTCTTTCATTTCTTTTCTTCATTCCGGGGGCCGCTTTTGCCAACTTGAAATTTTGCCCTCCCGTTTATTTTAGAATTGGGGTGAGCAAAGTTTCAGGTGTGTGAAAGCGCTATGCCCGCATTCAACATCATCGACAACAACAACAGAAGCAGCAGCAGCAGCCTAGTGGAACGAGTGGAAAAGGAGGTTCTTTCGTAACTGTGCCCAATCCCTAAGCGGTCGGCACGCTTGAACTTTGTTTTTCCTTTGTGTTTGAAATTAGGTGAGCAAAGATTCAGGTGTGTTGACGATGCTGGGGACCAGCTGGAGTCTTCCAAATCTTTTAATCCAAATAACACAAAAAGAGCTCTTTGTAATAATAATCATACATCATCATATAATCAAAGTAATAAATTAATTTTATTTTGTTTTCATTACGTATAAAGTATAAAACATTTTTATTCTAACTATACTCATAAGTTTACATTTATTTACTGAAGTATTACAATGATATTTTAGTTAAGATACATTTTCTTATTTTATATTATTATTATCAAATGAAATAACTTCTATTAAATGTAATTTTAAAGAAAATCTGATATTATATATTGTTATTCTATAATATTTAAATTTTTAATATTTAAGCATCAAAAATGTTCAATTTGATATTTTACAAAATGTCTAGGCATTAAACAAAGAGTTTAATTTTGTACATTGTCTAGACATTTTATATAATGCCGAATACTCTTTCAACAAAGACAATTTCCGCTATCTCGTGAATCTTTAAGCTTACATAACATAACCTAGTCTTTCTATTGATAAATACTTACGTCAAAAACAAATATAACAAGTTGTATGACGTTTAATGACATTTAGAGTTATGTCATTTAATGTCATATGACTTGTTATACCATATTGTCCAATTATAGGATTACTATTTGTGAGAAATTAAATGTAATGATGTATGTATTTTTTTTTATTATCATAGTTGTTTGTGTGTAAATATTTATGTAATTTTGTGGTCATTGGAATAAATATTATGTTTATTAACAAAAAAAAATTATAGTTATCTTAACATTTATCGATAAATTCCTAGGTATTCCATATAAGCACCAGGTAATGTATATAAGAATTTTATTTACTTTTAATTTTATAAGACATTTGACGTTGCCTGTCAAAATTATAAATAATTAACAAATTATTATATTTAAAAAAAAATAGACAAATTTAATAGAAATATTTAGCTTGAGAGCGGATACGATTTTCTCGTTGTTAATACATAATTTTCTTGTTATCTAACTTCAAATTATATATTAATATTTAATGAACAATTGAAGAATATTCGTTATGGTACAAAAAAAAACTATACCCGACTCATCATTGAGTAGAAACAAAAAAAAATAAATTTCAATAACACATGTATGCATACCACAATAATAACAGCAATAAACAAATTAATACTGTGGATAATTACCAGCTCAAATGAACATTACAGCTATCGCTGTTTAGTGATTACCAAGCATTTAATTATATACTAGCTTACATGTCTGTCGAAGTAATCAATACTAATTGTTGCCTAGAGAATTGTAGATATTCGCATTATCAAAAGAGAAAAGAAGGCTCTGCAGTTGTTCAACAGTTGTTATCGGTGAACTGAATTGACAGAAAAGTCCCGTACTTTTAATATTACAGATACGTACGCATGGAGGTAATTTAATGTTATAATCATTGTTGCACTTAAAAAAAAAATATATATATAAATGATTCAGCTTATATAATCAAATCAATGCTTATAGGTTACAATTAGAAAAAGTAATTATCCCAGACTAAGATTTGAGTTGATACTAATCCTCAGCACGATCAACATTAAACTGTATTGCTGTACTTTCTTGTTTCTTTTTTTTCTGCTCAGAGACATACACACGCTCGATGTTTGCGAAATTGCTAACAGGTCAACCGGCGCTAGGTTCTTCCTCATCACGCAACGTCTTCATTGATTTTACTGGCCTGAGCTGAGGAAAGTGAGAGAGTTAGAGAGAGACCCTTTTGAGAGAACTTTATTATTACATATAATTACTTTTTACGACTGTCTACCTCGCCCAGCAAATGTCAGCCGACAAATTGACGCGGAAGCTTTTTATTTATTAAAACCTTAATGACATTCCGTATTGTATTCTTTCATTTCGTTCTTTGATAGATGACACTGGGTTAGCTGTCATTTCGTATACGTAATATGTCAATGTCGACAGTTGATATTTATATAAATGAGATGATGTTAGTTCTTATTTTTAGTTGATTGATTTCTTATTTTCTACATGTATAAACACGTACAAAATCAAAGTTGAAAGTAAATAAATGAATACTAATTGAAATAATACATGTTTATTAAATTTAATTTTTTGGAATCTCTTCTAGAAACAAGTAAAAACAATGATAGTAAATTACATTAAATTATACAGTAATAAATCGATAAACATTTCATATTTATTATTATATTAATTTTGACAGGTGACTGAGTCAATGTCATCTGTCATTTTATATAAGTAATATTTTTATTTTGACAGTATTATCAAATGTTAACCTAGAGATATTAAGAAATCATCATTTAAGTTATTAATGTTTATAAATGAAAATATGTTAGGTCATTTATTTATTTTTACATGTATAAACGCGTACAAAACAAAGATATAATTTATTAAAATTGTATTAATATTTTAAAATCTTTGTAAGGAACAATTAAAACTAAATTATAGTAAAATTTACATTTTCAAAATTTACACATAAAAATTAATTAAATTAAAATAAACAACCTTAATGACATTTCACATTTATTATTGTATTCGTTTTGACAGATGTCATTGAATCATCTGTCATTTTATTTACGTAATATTGACAATAATCAACTGTCAATATATTACATACACATAATTTAATATATTGATTTATTGTAGATGAGATGACGTTAGTTCTTATTTTTAGTTGATTACCTTCTTATTTATGTTCATGGATAAACGCGTAAACAGGAAAGTTTTCTGAACAACATTTGATGACATTTCTTATTATGTTATTTAGTTATGTTATTGACAGATGTGTCTTCTAATATTTCATATATATAATAATTCTTTGTTGACATTTCCCAACATTATATCAGATATTTATTTTTCTATAAATGAAATCATGTTAGATTCTTACCTAATCTATTTCATTGCATATTTTTGTTATTAAAGAACAAATAAATAAGAAATAATTTGCATAATCAGAGATAAAGAAAATCATGCTCTAACATTATTGGAATCTCTTCTACAAACAAGTAAAAACAATGATAGTAAATTACATTAAATTATAATGTAATAAAACGATAAACATTTCATATTTATTATTATATTAATTTTGACAGGTGACTGAGTCAATGTCATCTGTCATTTTATATAATTAATATTTTTATTTTGACAGTATTATCAAATGTTAACCTAGAGATATTAAGAAATCATCATTTAAATTATTGATTTTTATATATGAAAAGGTCATTAGGTCACCAAAACAAAGATATAATTTATTAAAATTGTATTAATATTTTAAAATCTTTGTAAGGAACAATGAAAACTAAATTATAGTAAAATTTATATTAATTAAAAGTTTACATTTTCAAAATTTACACATAAAAAATAATTAAATTAAAAACGATAAACAGAAAAGATTAGTGAATAAACAACCTTAATTACATTTCACATTTATTATTGTATTCGTTTTGACAGATGTCATTGAATCATCTGTCATTTTATTTACGTAATATTTATAATAATCAACTGTCAACATATTACATGCACATCATTTAATATATTGATTTATTGTAGATGAGATGACGTTAGTTCTTATTTTTAGTTGATTATCTTCTTATTTATGTTCATGGATAAACGCGTAAACAAGAAAGGTTTCTGAACAACACTTGATGACATTTCTTATTATGTTCTTTAGTTATGTTATTGACAGATGTGTCTTTTTTTGTTATTAAAGAACAAATAAATAAGAAATAAGTTGCATCATCAGAGATAAAGAAAATCATGCTGTAACATTAATGGAAAATAACTATTTCCCTATAAGAAAAAGCGCAATTAGTAGACTTAATGCACTTAGACTACATTGAAAACCACAGTTATTTAGAAGAAGTAACGCAAATAACTATTCAATTAGAATTAATATCAACATCAGAATTATTACAAGAACCATGTCCCGGGATTCAAATATCTCTGGACACTGTGAAATATCTTGTAGTTATGTCGTTGTGGAGTCCTAGCGGAGTTTTTAAGGAATGCTAGATGTGAAGTTGGAGTTTTTATGATAATAAACATTTTATTATTCACTATAATATTATTAATAACTTCTATGTCTAGATTTCAGTTGCTAATTTTGTTACTAGGGTTTTTATGAGTCTAAACAGGATTCTACTCTAAGACTAAAACTAACTTGGACTAGCGATTAGCTAGACTATCTAAGACTTAGACTCCCTTTGTATTACATAAACATCCTATTATATAGGAGTGAATTAGCATAGTGGGAGTACAATATTTGGTAAGGAAGATAGTACCTAACATAATATAAACAATAACGGTTATACATAACAAATTATAATTAGATGTGTTAATTATAACTTTATTTAAAAAGTGCTAAACACACGATGTTAGTAAATACTCTATTTATTTTTATTAAAAAAAATATTCTAATTAAGTCTTTTCCTTTTGTCGTTAAACAATAATTTAGAGACTTAAAATATTTGCACAGTTACCTGAATTTATTTATAAACTCAAACCAGGTATTTACCTGACAACCGAGTAATTAATAATTACTATCTGGACCTAATATCTACGTATAATTAGTTTTCAATTAGTTCCATGTTAATTAATAATGCGGTAAATGTGATACATGTGATATTAATTTCAGTCAATTGGATGCCGGCTTCGAGGAGAGAGTAAATACATGTTACAATAATTATAATTAATATTTTCAGAATGTAAAGTAGTTTTTACAAATTTTATATCAAAGCATTATTGTGTTATTTATACCAGCGTTTCTCAACGTTTTTGTCGCGCGACCCAATGTATTCGTTTATAATTATACTGCAACACAATTGTTTATAATACAGTGGAACCTCGCTTAACAAATAAAATGAATTGT